TCTCAAAAAAAAAAAAAAAAAAAAAAAAAAAAACCAATAGTATTGCGATTTCTTCAAAAAGATTCTGAATTAATGAGGTATGTATGCTATAGTCAGTTTTATGACTTTTTACTTTGGCCAAATATAACATATTGGGATTATGCTTAGAACTCTTTTATCTATTTTGTCCCCATTGACTTAAATTTTTAAGAATTGGTAACATTCTCTGATCTCTGTGTCAATGTGGTACATAATTAGAATGCCGTGGTATACCAGTGAGAAACAAAATAGAATAGTTTAATTCCGTTGACTGATGGATATTGATCATAAAATGTTAAAAATGGGTACCTAAACTTGGAAATTGGTATGTATAGTTAGTAGATTTATAGGAATAATAGCAAGTTGCATATTTAATTTGATACATTTTATTTGAAAATAGTTCCCTTTTGTACTTTATGTTTTTATACGTTCAGAATTTAAGACCGAAGGATATATAGTGATTTTGCTCATAAATCTATTTTCAGCATTCATTTACTACAAACATTGTCATCTGTTCTTTTTTATTTCATAATTTTAAAATTCTTCATTTTTTTATCTAATTTAACATTTTCATATTTTTAAAGGTCCCCAGGTGCATCCAATTTTTCAACTTTACCAAAGATCTCTCCTTCATCTCTATCAAATAATTATAACAACATCAACAACAGAAAGTAAGCACTGCATCTTAAAAACTCTTTGTTTAATTGATCACCCTATTATGGTTGCAAAAAATCTCTTGTATCTAAAATTTAGGATAAAAGTCTTAATGCATTAAAATTGGTTTTCTTTTAAATTACTGATTAGTTCTTCCCTGAGTAACTTAACAAAAAAGAAAGCAGTTAAATTACTTCTCGATTTAATACATATACTGAAAGAAATAAAACACTTAAAGAATTTTATATACTAAACATTAATTGAAATATATTTAGAAGTTTGTTAGAACACAATTTTTTAGGAAGAGTATAAATTCAGATGTCATTTTAGAACTAGATATGTAATCACATAAAATAAAGTATTTTTTAAAAGTATATATCAGTGATTCCCAAGTGCAAAGCACATAAAAAATTTTATGAAAAAGGCAATCACTTTTTCTTGAGAAGTTCAGAAAAACAATTTCCTTACCCCTTCCCAAATAAAATTTAGAATCATGGAATTTATAAAAATTTTGTTAAAGTGTGTGTTCTTTTATTGCTATAAGAAAAGTTGAAGGTCAAGATTACTTGGGCTTCACTCTGAGTGTATTACCTTGTATTGACTCTGAGTGTATTACCTTGAACGTTGACATGTCTATTTTATTGAAAAGGGTCAAAAGAAGGCCTTTATTATTTGTAATTAACCCAAATTATGGGAAGGATATTGATCTAGAGATGATTATCCTTTTATTTTTTTATATGTATAGTGCCATTTATGGATTAGGTTGGAAGTATTTAGATATTTACACTAACATATAGTGCTAGATATTTATCTAGTACTTATACTGATTATATATTAGTATATACTTATATGCTTATACTAATTATAAAATATTAGTATTTATTTTTTCAGTTTCTAAATGGCATCCGATTATCTCAGCGACTAAATTCTAAAAGACTAAAGCTTTTTTGAGAAATAATCTTTAAAATTGAAACATCAATAATTAAAGTTACATGTTGAATTAATTTTCCCTTAAATTTATCTTTTAGGGGAGGATGACAAAAATGATTCTGACATACATATGAATTATAAGTAGATGGCAAGAGCTAAAATAATTATGGGAAAGAATAATAATGAAGAAGGATTAGTCTTAAACTAAATATCACAATGTATTTTAAATACATAAAAATTCAAACAGCATAGTACTAAACCAAAAATATGTCTACATATCAGTGAAATCTAACAGCTAAGAAACAGATCTTTGTATAAAAAGAATTTATTGTGATCAGGAGGCATTGTAGAGTAATAGAAATGGGCAGATTATCCAGGAAATATTGTTGAGAAAATTGGCTCATGCCTGAGAATTTCTCTCTGGAATTTTAAATCCAAGATAATTGTTAAGCATATTAAAAAAGGACAAATAAATGGAAAAAAATACTTGCTACAAGTGATAAAGGTTATATATTCTTAATATATCAAACTCATAAAAATCGGAAATTTTCTAAGACAGTCTTGGAAACACTGGGCAGTAAAAGTAAAAGAATTAAATAAGGGATAAACTTTTTTTTTTTTTTTGAGGTAGGGTTTCACTTTGTCACCCAGGTTGAAGTGCATTGTCAAAATCACAGCTTACTGCACCCTTGACCTCCCAGGCTCAAGTGATCCTCCCACCTTAGCCTCTTGAGTAGCTAGGACTACAGCACATGCCACCATACCAGGCTAATTTTTTTTTTTTTTTTTTTTAATTTTCATAGAGATAATCCCTCTGTGTTGCCCATGCTGGTCTCGAACTCCTGGGCTCAGGCAGTCCTCCTGCCTCAGCCTCCCAAGTGCTGAGATTATAGGCATGAGCCACCTTTCTCACCTGGGATAAATATTTTAAATTTTCACACTCACTACTGATTAGAGATATATAAATTAAAACCATGAAAAACCCCGTTTGCTTTCCCCTACCTCAGTCATATGGGGAAAAAATCAACAATGATATATATTCTTATAAGGATTTTGAGTGTTTGGAGTATTAGAATAATTTTCCTAACAAAATAGTTTACCAATATGAATCAAAAAGATTTAAAACATTCACATTCTTATTTCAGTTATTCATAAAAAGATATGTGCACTATGTTGAATAATATTACATCATAGTGTAATACTAAAATACTGAAGATGCTAAATATTCAATATTACACTGTAGTATGTTCTCTTCTATTTAAAAATGTATGTCTGCAGGCCAAAAAAAGAAGGTGAAAATAACCCCTTGTAATTCAGTTTGTATTATATGAGAGCTTTAAGTAAACTTATCAAAAGTCATTTTTTCCTAGTAGATAAAATACTGCTTATGATTTACTCATTGCAGATGGCTCCTATATTTACTATAAAATAATTCATGTACAGGTATTTACAGTCATTCTTTGGAGAGATTTTTAACATTGTATATAGACTATATTGAATGTATACTCTATTTTTACCAGAATTACCATATTGGTATATGTGGTCTGGTATGTTTCTGGTTTTGTTCTGTTTGCACTTTTATAGTAAACGTGTGACAGTATACTCTCAAAACCTCTGACTACAGAAACTGTTAAGAGAATTATAATCTTAAGTTTCAGTGATTCTATCATATGACTGCCTTATATTTTTAGCTTTTTTTGTTTTTTTTTTAATTCTGACACTAAAATAGTCCTGTCATATTAGGGAATTTTAATGGCAAATAGTCATTGAGGTACCATGATGCTGTGACCATTTTGAGCTTAAAAGTACTTTTATGTATGGATTGCCTATCTTTGTAAGGAACAGAACTTAAGCATTCATAAAATGGAAAGTTTTTTTTTATCTTAAAAAACTTGAATTCCATCACATTTAAACAATTTTACATAAAATTTATTTCTTGCATTTCCATTCAGCTTGTGGAAAGACTTCAGATAGAAATAGCAGAGTTTATTTAAAAGTATGTAAAATAGGTAATGACCTTTTGGATTAAGTATGTTTTTGAAAATTCATGTATGTGGAAATAGTCTACAAGTATAAGTAATATATTAAAATCAATAATTACAATACACAAGCTCATATGAAATTTATTTACACATTCAAGATTTAACCCTACACTGATACATTTCTGAGATACAAAATTTTCATTTCCAGAAACAAGAATATCATTATAAAATAATTCCAAATAATACAGTATAGTTGGAATTATATCATTTAAGTTTAATATGTTTTTATTAAAAACTAATATTATGAAAAATCTGTTACTATAATATAGTTGGTTTACCTTCTGTCACAATTTTACCTGTTAGTCCCTGGAGTATTTGGTTTTGCCTCAATTTAAGTACATTTTTAAGTATCTCAAATTGTCTTTCTGGTAATAGTTCTATAACCTGCATTTTTCTGCCCTGCTGTATTTGCTTTAATATATTATTAGCACCACCTTTAAAAAGTATTTTTAATCTGTTTATTGTCTGAATTGGACATTCTAAATACAGAGCACATTTCTGTTTTTCTGTTAATTCATTTAAATCTTTTTTTTAATTTAATGAAAATGATTACCTGTATGAGATTGAGCCATGAACAGAAACTGTGAATTTTGGAAACTACTAGAGCTAGCCATCTGGCTCTTAATAAATTTGTTAGCTAAAATCATCATTTCATTAACTGCAAAATGGGCATAATTATAATTATGAGGATTAAATTACATATTTATAATGTCAGGTGTCAGTGCTAGTTTTAAAAGTCAATCCATTTTTATAGAAGGATAAGGTTCAATTTTACCAAAAAATTTTGCATTTTTAGTGTATTTTTATTAAAGAAGGGTAGATATACAGAATTAATATAATGTAGTATTAAAATTCCCGTTACTATTACTGTAAATTTATTTTTGCAAAGTAGCATAGCCTTAAAAGATGATGACTAGCTTAAGATTGTTACGAAATAACTAGTAGACATAGTCATGAAAGATAATAGAGGCTATCTTTAGGGCCCAGGTTTTCATATATATTTTGAATTATATAAATTCTAGTTTTGATATTTTCCATGACAAACCTTAATATTTCATTTAGAGCATACATATCGTGGATTGTAAGTGACCAATCAAGATAATATTAAAGTATCTTAAATTCATTGGTTTTCATTATTATTTTTGAGCATCTAGGCTATCTCAGTTTTTGAGCAAAGTTTATACTTTCTCTGTCATTTAAATGTAAATATTATTTAGGGATTCAGACTTTTTTAAAAACAAAACAAAACTGCTTAGCAAATAAGTGTTTTGTTCATTTCTCAGTAAATAGGAATTTCTGTCCCATCGAATTCCATCATGTTGCTGCACAGAAGAGTAGAGCTTCCAGCATCCCTTTAAAAAGTTACATGTGGGGAGAGACAGGATATCTGAATATATACTTACGGAATGAGCATGTAAATGTGCTTTTAGTCTTTTCACACGTGTGTCTGTCTGTGTGTGTGCATGTGTGTGCGCGCGTGCGCGCACACGCGTGCATGAGCATGCATTTGAGCATACTTTCCTGTGTGCTCCGGCTGCTTGAATTTTACTGTAATTATACAGCCAGGGGTCTTTTTTCTCAGTAATGTGTAGAATGTGTAGAAAATGCAAGCCTTGCATTTTTTAAAATAATACACCGAAGATCTTCATTTTTAGCCTCACTTACAGTAATAAAAGAATAACAAGATCTTTTTTTTGTACTTCAGCTTTTTGTTGTGTGTATGCAAAGTTAGATTCAGTAATCCAATTATGAGTGAAAATACTTAAAATCGCTAATAGATGCTTTGTACTTTTTTAGTTACTAGGAATATAAAATAAAATGTGAATCATAAGTCTAATGATTTCCCATAAAAAGTTTCATGAATTTTTTATGTTTTGTTTGTTTTAGTTTGAGGCAAGTAAGTAGCTATAAGTCTAGCAATTCTGAATTTGAATTATCAATCTTACATTTCTTAGGCCCCTTCTGTTTTTATCTCAGCGTGGATTGTTTTTTGAGAGTTGAGGAGTTAACCATTTTTGTTTGTAGGAAAAAGGAGTGTTTTTTTTTTTTAAAAACACAGAAACATTCATAGGCTAACACTGTATGTATAATTTTAGGTTGGTTTGGTTTTGTGTGTTTTACCTATTTGGTGTGTGTGTTTATTGAAGACTTTGTTAGAACAGGTAGTAGTATAGTTCACATAAACTCTTATAATAATAAAGTGAGAGTATAGTATATGGAATAATGAAGTGAAGTGTTTGAAATTATAAGAAAAAACTACTTAAAAAAGAATATTACCAGGGATAAATTGAAGCCAGTTGTGAATTGCTAGAGATACTGATTTATCATGTTCTTTTATAAAGGTGTTTTATTTATAGCATCATTTGCTTTTAGCAAAGATCTTCTCATTCAGGTTTTTTCTAATGAATAAAAAAAGATTGAAAGCATGCTTTAGAATTATATCTGAAATATTCATCATGCATATTTTATAAGATAACCTATTGAAAAATAAGAAAGAGTCCATTCTTTTTCACAAGACTATATTTTATTATATGCAAAAGGAAGAGAGATCATTTAATTTATTTTCTTCTTTCTAAAAATTATCCTGATTTTGTAACTTTTAGAATATTATAGAGTTTTTTAATATTAACATTTAAATTACGTTGAGGTTATATTTATCTAATTAAATAAACTACATTGGTCTGAGAAACTAGAAGAAAGAAAAGGCAAGTAACACTGGGATATACTTGCTTTGAATTATTTTTGCATTCCTGTTCACCCAGGCTTTTTTCTGCATTTAAATATTAGTTTTTCCTGGTCTAGCTTAGAAACTCTAAATAGAATCTTCAGTGCTTCAGAATAGTGATGTCACAGTGGCCTTGGAAGTCTCTTCTCTTACCAGTAACTAAAGCATAACTCTTATTGTTTCTATCATTTTTACTCTATTACAGTAGCAGAATGCAAAAGGGTCATAAAGGAGGTGACTTGTTGCTGCAGATATTGTTTAAAATCTGAATGTTTTAAATTTGATGGAGCAATGGGGAATGGAGCAAGCTGTAAAGCTGCTCCAGTTAATCAAAGGTAGAAAGATACAATAGTGGTTTGTATTGATTGGTGTGGTATATGATAGTTATTTTGTTGACTGGATAAGGAATATCTTAATTCAGGGTGGTTTATTTTGTTTAAGGTTCACATTTTTAAAGTATCTGAAATGAGTGCTTTATAAAAGAAATTTAATGATCAACCACATATCTCATAAGTAGGCCTATAGTACTCTTTATTTTAACTATGTTGTAATATAATTGGCTGCATTATGAAAAATATTTTTTTCTTCCAGTGTGAAAAACTCAAATTACTGTCTCCCATCATATACTGCTTATAAGAACTATGATTATTCAGAACCTGGAAGAAACAATGAACAGCCAGGCCTCTGTGGTTTAAGTAACTTGGGAAATACGTGTTTCATGAACTCAGCTATTCAGGTAGGTCTTTGTAAACAAAGTGGAACTGTCGTTTCATGGAAATCTATAATACAAGAAGATAGAGTTGAGTTTTTCATGCCAGAACATGAGTAGTACATTTGGAAAGTTCATTTTTTATGGAAGATTTAAACATATGTATTTGATTCATTCATTCTACTACTGGTAGTAGAATAAATGTTTCTCAATTAGGTAATGTGATTGATTAACATAAGGTACAAGATTAAACATCACTTCTTGCAAAAACATAATACCAAACAGAAAACTTGCTGTCCAAGAAAGGGAAAAAAAGAATGCAAAAAAGCTAGTGAGCTCTCCCCTTTATT